CGCTAAAATTAACAACATCCGCTCAGCTGAGCTAAGTACAGTGAAAAGCACTTTCTCAGCAAGCTAAGTTAACCGTAAGGATAATCAAGAACTCGAAAACGATCGATTAAATCACGATTCCCCAATTAAGAGCAAGTAATATGCTAAATAGAAGATTGCGATGTTCTTTTTTCAATTCGGAATACAGGTACACATATTAAACAAGGGTGAAATTATGAAAATTTTTTAAGAAATAATTTTTATTGGGTGGTTAGCGTGAACCTTACTTTGCTCATTCCGTTAAGACGATCTTCAGGTTACCAGTATTCGTCCGCAGAACACCCAGAGAATCACACATGATGGCCTGCCTTTGGTTGCTTTCCTGTTCAAGTTTGGAACTGGAGTGATTGATCAGAATATACAAGCATAAAAATCCAATTCTGAACCTTAATTTATGAAAGAAATCATCGTTTGAAAAGAAATGCTTCGCTGAGCAGCTAATATCTTTCACTTGAATTATTCGATACAGTTGAAAAGACGGACTTGCAACAAACAAGATGGTGGATGAATAAAAAACGAGAAACTACATGGTCATTATAGCAGTAGACGAACCTGTCGTTGATCTTCACGTTTTGGTCATGCAGCGAATCGTATTGAACTCGCATCAACTGCAGATGCAAAATCGGGGGAAATTTGAGGAACGTTACACCCTTTTCTGCTTCCTTAGCGAAAAAAAACAGATTACGGAATGTCGGAGACCCTCGTTCAAAGAAGGTGGGCTCAGCACCCTTAGCGGTAACCAACCTGCAACCCGTACTGCCCGGCATCGTACTTGTTGTCGCCTTCGAGCGTCTCGACTGCCACGTAGTCTTTGAACGATTCGTAAACTGAAATGAGTGCATATGAAAAGCGATGCGACAGTAAGCGCTCGCTGTTGTATGTACTATTTCTTTTCCCTTTCACGTTCAGCTGTATATCGTAAAACGGTTCCTCGCGATTAGATTCGAACGGTACGTCCTTACAGCGAATGTAAGACTAAACAGAAGTAGGAAAATGTTAATAAACGTAAGTATTGAAGAATCACCGGCATGCACCGCAACGCCTACCTTCATTTTACCCTCGAACAGATCCGGGATCACTGATTCGACAGGTGTGTCCTTCATTTTGCTTTCCAGATTATCGAGTAACTGAAAAAAAAGCAAATGCATAGATTTATGAGAAACACTGCATTGGGTACACTTACAACACGGCATAGCTCCTGAACATCATGCTGAAGGAAGGAGTCGAATGCATCCCACCTGTAAAAATACTGCCATTTATTAATCAACTACCGAAACGGGAGATCATGTGGCAGAGAGAAACATGGTGAAGTGTTCCCCGTGATCGTTGTAGTAACTTAATGCCTAAAAGGCTACGGCAATCTTCTTCATTTTCATTTTCCATCGCCGCTTCTCCTTTCGGGTCGCGCAGGCAGACGCGTCAGACAGAACTTCCAAAGTTCCCGATCCTGTGTCAGAGTCTGAGCTTCGGTAAAAGACAACAGGAGTCTGGAAGAAACTCCTTCCATATATTTGCACCAGGTTAATCTTGGCCGTCCTTTGGGCCTTCTGCCGGTCGGATTTGAAAAAACAGTTGCTTAAACTTCCTTTCTGGAGGCATTCACAACACATGGCCAAACAATCGCAGCGGTGATTTCTCAATCTGGAGAAGCAAAGGCTGTATACCAAGGCTCTTCCGGATGTCAGTATTCCGTAAGACGCGTAAGGCCAGCGACTCGTCTAAGAAAGCCCATTTCAGCAGCATGTATACGGTTTTGAAGTTTTCCAGTGAGGGTCCACGACTCATGACTGTAGGTAAGAATGGGGATAACGATCGACTTGAACACCGAGAGCTTAGTTTTCAGACTGAGCTCTGCTTTAGTCATAATGGGTCGGGATCGTTCACGCAGAACGCCACTGGCTAATCCAATTCGCCGGTCGATCTCTTCTTCCAATGGCTACGGCAGATACTATCCAAAAATGTTTGCGGGTATGTCTTTAGAAACGAAATTGTCACTTCTAACTACTTACCCTTTCCTAGGTAAAAGTTCAAGGCAGCCATAATACACCGGCAATTTCATACAGCTTTCACTCTTTCCGTAGCTTGATTAACGAGTTCCGTCACGTAATAAAGACGAAGGAAACTAAATACTGCTATGACCTCCAATGTCGAAATGTCGATCAGTGCGATCAGATCACGAATGACGTCACTATTTCGTAATGGAGATACCGAAATTCCACGATACCTGAGCTGAAGCTCAATCACAATGATAATCCTTTCAGATTCAGTTTTGCGGTCAACAGCTTATCAGGTTCGTGTGATCACTGGTCACAGCATTTTTTATTACTCTTCAATGGATTGCAGAAGATCGAAAACGTTGCAAGCACAATCTGATGCGTCTGTCTCTGCAACCAGAAAGGAGAACCGGTCAAGGAAGCTGAACTGAACTGGATTGCTGAAGAGAAGGCAACATTTTCTGAACGGTTTGGTGACTAACTTGAATAAAATGAATAAAAATTCAACAAACGCACCCTATCGATGGAGCTGAAACGTGAACAGTTAAAAGCTTTATCCTCCGTGATTCAGCCACTCGACGACAATTATTATCATTTGGTATATCCAGTTTAGTTCCATTTTATGTGTGTCAGAATTCACTTACCCAAAAGATCTGGTCAACTTTTTCGTTCCAACAGGCTTGTCAGAAAACTGAAGTTCGTAAAACACTCTCTGCATCGACAAGGCCACGCTTTTAAGAGGGTCATCGTTCTCGGTGGACATTTGATATACCGCCTAAAGAAAAAACGAAATAAATGTCACATTATCGACATTCGCTGAACACCCGTGGTGCAGTGCGCACCTTCCGCAGTTTGTTGATGAAAAAAAGTGCTTGTAACAAAGAATTCATGTAACAGGTTGCTCCCTGATTTTTGAGACCAACGAAACCGGTGTGCTTTTTGCTGTCCCACCTGTAACGAACATAGCACAGTATATTGAGACAATTAGAGGTCATTAAATATTAAAGTAAATCCAACTCTTACTGCACTCCATGCGGGGCATCAGCATAAACGTGCACCTCTAACAAAATCTTGTCGTCCTTGATGTAGCCCCGATCGGGATCAAGCACTGTCTAAAAAGTCGGTATGAGAAAAAAGTTGTCATAAAGTAACACTCGCTGGAGCAGCCCTACCTCCATCGGTAGGAAGCAGCTGTAGCCCCAGTCATTTTCTTTCGGGTAAAATATATGTGAAATGTTCTTTTCGTGGTCCGGTATGTCTTCCTTCTGCGATTTGATTCGCAGCGTCGCCGTCGCAGAACATGACCAGTTTCTAAACAGAGCGAATGACTAACGAGAAGCGATATGACGTTCGGCATTTCCTACAGGAATGATTTGAATTAAAAACAGAAGAGAATAAATTTGAAAATTTGGGTATAACCATAAGCAAAATGATGTTTCTGTTTCAGGGTTCAGTCGTCAGTGCGTAAAAGAAATCTACCGCCTGACGACGGAGAAAGTTCCCCATTCATAACAGAGTATCCAGACCGGATAAACAGTCCATGCTGTTCTCATCCATGTACATGACTGGCGGCATGACAGATAAGAACATGTTCAATTTACGAGCTATGCCTATTTTACTTTGTTCATAGCCATTTATCATTAATTTTACTGTTATACTATCATTCATTATATATTGAATTTGCATGTTTTTTTCATTCTGTGGATTTTGATAACCAATAATCTTTGGGGATTCAACTTTTAACACTGTATTTTAGTATCCGTTTCGGTTGATCACGAGCAAACCATAGCGGAAGAAAGAAGGGACTTCTGTAACTCACACATTATTAGAGGTGGATTCGAGCGATCTTTCGAAGAGTAAGGAATGTTTGTCACCGCTAGAATATTGGTCTTCGTTCA